AGAATTACAAACCAAGAGCAAGGCTGAAATTCACCGTAAATCTTGGAACACTACCAGAGGAGTTCTCTGCTGCCACACATTCAAATTTGCACACTCACTTCCAAAATTTATGCTTTGAAATTTGGCTTAATGATCATTAGGATTCAGTATAACTAGAATTTCAAGCTTGGGTCTTGGAAAGTGAGAATAGTGAGTTCAAATCTCAACTCCGTTGGTAATCAGCTGTATGCCCTTGGGCAGATTATTGTTCTCAGGATATTACATGAGATAATCCCCATACAACTCTTGGCACAGTACCAGTATATATTAGGTATTCAATGAACACAGAAAATTAAAAGGCCTGTTAGATAATAGACTTTGTATTCAAAGAATAAGTAAACTCTGGCCCTCAAAAAATTTATAATCTAATTAGAGGCCTAGTGCACGAATTTGTGAACAGGTGGGGTCCTTTGGCCTGGCCAGCAATCAGGCTGTCTCGCTCAGTCCCAATCGGCCAGAACTCAGCAGCAAGCTAACCTACCAGTTGGAGCATCTGCCCCCTGGTGGTCAGTGCATGTCATAGCAACTGGTCAAGCAGTTGATGGTCAGACACTTACCATATAGTAGCATATTAACCGTGTGTGTGTGTGTGTGTGTGTGTGTGTGTGTGTGTGTGTGTGTGTTTGTGTGAATGAGATGAACTACAAAAATAATTATAAGAGAAAATCTCATATTTTTCTCTAAGAGAGTTATAATATGCAGTCAGAGTTCAAATAGTAATTTGAGGTTTGGGGGCCATGGAGTGGGATTGGAGGCTGGGGAAAGTTTCATGGAGGAAAGCGGCTTTTAGGAAATGTCTAGACTAAAGAGTGAAGGCTCCAGGGGAGAGTCCCACTTTGGCTGAGGGCAGAGAGAAAGGCCTGGAGAGGTTACCCGGAGGTAAACACGGGGTTGAATTGAGCCTGGTGGGCAGAGGAGATCCTGCTGGAGGCTGTCCTTTGGGAGGATCGCATCGGGAGTGGCTGCAGAGTAGGTCACAGTCACAGGGGAGGCTCGTGCGGAGGTAAATGAGGAAGCCATTGCGTTGTCTGGACAGAGTTAGGGACCTTCATGGGGGCTGGGGCCCTGGGAATGACAGAGAAGGGGGCAATGCAACAGGACTCCGAGAGGAAGACATCTCCCAAAGGGCACCTCTTCTCCCAGTTGGCTGTTGCCTACCCTCCTCTGCTTTCCTTAAAACTCAACCCTATTTCCTTTCTCGTCTCCTCTCCTTTTCCATCTGAGGCCAACCCTTCCACTGGTGTGCTGACCCAAGGCTTCCTCTCCCTATGGACTTCCCAGAAAGTGTTTCCTCTTCTCACATCTTCAGGCTCTGTCTCCACGGGCTCTTTCCTGCCTACAAACATGCCCGGATCGCTCTCCCTGTGAAAGAACGTCCCTTGGGCTTTTTCTATTCTTAAGCAACACTTTAATTTCCTCTTACCTTTTGCATTCAGATTTCTCAAGGAAGGAACTAACTCAAAGATGCACTTCACAGCCTTCATCACATTGGCACCTCAGCATTCTGAAATTGAACTCTCACCCTATAAACACTGCAGAGTTAGCATGGACCTCTTATATGGCAAATCCAAATCTCTCAGTCTTCTATCCATTTAAATGCTGTTGAGTGACACTCCAATTCCCCACTTCCCACCACCTTCTGTACCTGACTCTGGAAACAAGTGTTCCATTTCCCTCTTTTCCTTATCTTTTCCTTCCCATCCTCTTTAATGCCTGTGACCCTGCAAACAAAGCTGCTTTTCATTGTTGTGTCCTCATCACTCTATACCAGGAGTGAGCAATCTTTTCTTGCATGAGGTTAAAGAGGAAGAAGAATCTAATAAAAGAGTAATATGCAAATTGACTGTCACTCCAAGACACAAGATGGTGGCCTCCATGTGGTCAAAGAATGGCTGCCCCCATGTGGACACAAGTTGGCCATCACAAGAGGGCAGTTGTGGGCAGTTAGGGGTGACCAGGCCAGCAGAGGAGGGCAGTTGGGACAGATCAGGTCAGCAAGGGAGGGCAGTTTGGGGAGACCCAGGCCTGCAGGGGAGGGTAGTGGTGGGGGGGACCAGGCCTGCAAGGGAGTGCAGTTGTAGGTGATCAGGCCAGCAGAGGTGGGCAGTTGGGGCAGACCAGGCAAACAGGGAAGGGAAATTAGGGGGGACTAGACCTGCAGGGGAGGGCAGTTAGGGGTGACCAGACTGGCAGGAAAGGGCAGTTAGGAGTGACCAAGCTAGCAGGGGAGGGCAGTTAGGGGCAATCAGGCTGGCCAGGAAGCTTTTAGTCATTGATCAGGCCGGCAGGGGAGTGGTTAGGGGGTGATCAGGTTGGCAGGCAGAAGTGATTAGGGGCAATCAGGCAGAGGCAGGTGAGCAGTTGGGAGCCAGCAGTCCTAGATTGTGAAAGGGATATCCAACTACCTGGTCCCCACCCAGCTGCCCTCCCCTGTCCAACGAGCAGTTGGACATTCCTCAAGGGGTCCCAGACTGGAGAGGGTGCAGGCTGGGCTGAGGGACAGCCCCCCACCCCCACCCCCTGCACAAATTTCATGCACTGGGTCTCTAGTACATAGATATATAGCTTAAAAATTCATCCATATCTATATTTATTTATAATATATTTAATAGAATAACAATTAGAACATGGGCACTATATTATGGCTCCTAAAATATTATGCAAGACATAATTGCAAGTTAACTAGCAACATGGAAGTAACTTTCCAATCTTCTTGAAATTATGCAAAGGTACCCTAGACATTTTGGCTCAGTGGATAGAGCATTGGGCTGTAGTCTGAAGGGTCACGGGTTCAATTCTGATCAAGGACATATACCTTGACCCTATGGCATCAAGTTTTTAGTTTGACAATAATATAGAACAAATCTAAATTTTTCTACAAAGTTCTTATTCTAAAAATAGCTTTAAATTTAAGCAGCAGTTAGTAAGTCGGTTTCCATAATAGAGGTAGAGTCTATAAAAGACATTGTCCACAAAGAGAATCTTGTTTTTTATAGTGACATTCATTTTCTTAAAAATATAGTTTTATTACCACCTCACTATTTTCATACTCATCTGAAAACTGGTTTTATTATCTTAAGGCTGCCTGAGGTGAGATGTATGGGTGGCTGTCAATGGTCTTAAACTTTAGAGGTCTTTAAAAAGTCTATCATTGAATTCCTACTTAATTTAAAATATGAAACTTTGACAAACATCTACACTAATAAAAATGCATATGGAGCTGAAACCGGTTTGGCTCAGTGGATAGAGCGTTGGCCTGTGGACTGAAAGGTCCCAGGTTCCATTCTGGTCAAGGGCATGTACATTGGTTGTGGGCACAACCCTGGTGGGGGGTGTGCAGGAGGCAGCTGGTCCATGTTTCTCTCTTATCGAGGTTTCTAACTCTCTATCCCTCTCTGTAAAAAATCAATAAAATATATTTTTAAAAATGCATATGGAATCTATAGAAAGATGACAATAATGCTCCACACTGGGAATACATGGAACTTTTAATTCATTCCATAATATTAATAGCTCCCTTGCCCCACTCTGCTACCTGCAAGACACTTTCATTTTGCATGCCTCCCAGTGCTCTTCTAGTTGATAGGTAAGACGCTTCCCCACTCATACATCACCCAATAAAACCAGTTAGATCTTCAGATTTACTAGACTGAATTCTGATTTTTAACAAAATCCAGTCTAGTAAATTGTTTGTGAGGATCAAATCGAATGCATACGTTAGTGATCCACAAAGAAGGCTTCTGTTTTTATTAATAAAGCCCACCTGTGGGAGCTTGTCCCTGGGCAACATCCAGACCATACCTCATTTTGCAACAATCACACGTCCGAAAAAGAGGTCCAGGAAGCAACAACGACTGGAAGTGTCTGAGATGATTGGCATTTATAGATGGATGGATCTCAGTCCAATCCTTCGAGGCTGAGGCCGAGTGTCCACGCGGAGCAGGCTCCGAGGCGCGAGCCGAGGCCGGGCGGGCCAAGCGGGCCGTGGCGTGAGAAGGGGGGCGGTGGGCCTGGACCCGCTTTGCAGGCGGGAGCTGTGCGCACTGGGTTCTTTACGGGCGTGAAACACACGCGGAACGAGGCACCCAGAGCACTTGACTGGCGGAGTCGAAAATGCCAAACACGCGCTAGTCCCATGAAGGTAAATAAACGGCAAGGCTGTTCAATACAGGAAATGGCTGCATGTAGTAACACTAATATATTTAAAATAAGTCAACAGTAAACCACTGAAGAAATATATATATATACACCCAAGACGGGCATCATTTTTTAAAAGATATATTTTACTGATTTTTCACAGAGAGGAAGAGAGAGGGATAGAGAGTTAGAAACTTCGATGAGAGAGAATCATCAATCAGCTCTCTTGCACACACCCTACTGGGGATGTGCCCGCCACCAAGGTATATGCCCTTGACTGGAATGGAACCTGGGACCTTTCAGTCCGCAAGCCGACGCTCTATCCACTGAGCCAAACCGGTTTCAGCAAGACGGGCATCTTTTGTATTAAGAAAGGAAGCATTGTAAAAGAAAAAAAGAAAAAAGAAAAAAAGATTAAAAAAAGAAAAAAAGAAAAAAAGAAAAAGAAGAAAATGCCAAACACTGGAAAGGACAGCATTCCAGCCTCCAGGCTGCAGCCCCAGGGAGGGGCGGGGCGGGGCGGGGCGGGGCTGAGAAAGTCGGGGAGGGCGGGAGCAGGGTGCGGGGGGCGGAGCTGGCTGGGGCGGAGCTGAGAAAGCAGTGGAGGGCGGAGCAGACCTGGGCGGGTCGGGGCTTGCCGGGGCGGAGCAGGGCGTGGCGGGGCTGGGAAAGCAGCGGAGGGCGTGGCGGGGCGTGGCTGGAGGCAGGACGGGGCTGGACGGGGCGGGGCTGGGAAAGCCGCGGAGGGCGTGGCGGAGGGCATGGCTGGAGGCAGGACGGGGCGGGACGGGGCGGGGCTGGGAAAGCCGCGGAGGGCGGGGCTCCGCCGGGAGAGCGGCCAGCTGGGACCGTAAAAGGCCGGAGCGCGCGGGGAGGTGTGGCTTTGCGTTCGTGACCCGAGCCCAGGTCCCTGTGGCCGTCGTGCCCTGAGCTGCGGCCTCTCCGCCATGGGCGCCGTGTGGTCCGCCCTGCTGGTCGGAGGAGGTCTGGCTGGGGCGCTGCTGATCTGGCTGCTGCGGGACAAGGGGAGGAAGGGGGACGCGGAGAAGGAGGAGGACGCCGCTCTGGGAGGCGATCGGAGTGGCGGCAGCGGACTAAGCCCGGGACCTTCCCGGCGGGAGCCGATCACCAAACCAGGTGCCATACCGTCCTCTCTGAGCTTCCAGGGCAGATCTGCCAAGGGCTCTGAAATTCGCAGGGGGAGGAACATGCCCCCTGGAGCACTCGTTTCCAGGGACGAACTCCCCCCCCCCCCACTCCGCCCCCAGGATAGGGCCCGCCCCACGCCCAGTAGCTCACGAACCGCACGGGTTCCTCGCCTTCTCCCCAAGCCCTGGGGCTGCCCTGGCGGTGCCTCCAAGGACGGCGCCCCTCCTCACCTCTGTTTCCCCCCCCCGCCTCGGGACCGACCCTGGGGACCTGCCCTGGTCCCTCTCGTGGACATGGGCTCTGCCCAGCAGCGCGAGGTGCAGTGCGGGCGGCTGCAGTGGCGGCGCCCCTCCCTCCGGGACTCCGGAAAGGAGTGCTGAGGTTTAGGGGGACCCATGCCACCCTTTGACGGAGCAGGGACATTTTCTCAGTCTCAGTCCCATAGGGTCAGGTCCTCCCATGCCTCACGCCGCCGTGGAAGAGCTGGGCTTGGGAGCACCTCCCGCTATCTGGATGCTTCTGTCTGGAAGGCAAAGTTCAGGTTGGACGCTGGCCAGGAAGGCTCTGCGGGCCCTGCCCCAAGCTCACCGCAACAGCTCAGGGCTGTCTAACCCCGAGAGAAAGGGCTGAAAAAGGGTACTGAATAGGGGATCCAACTTTGAGGAGTGGAATTGGCGTGCAGGTCTAAATCGCTGCGTTTTGGAGAGGGCATGTTGGGTGCAGTAGGAACACTGGCAGGAAACCTTACTTTCCAGTGTCCTCCTGGGCGAGGCTCCATTGCCTGTCCCGCCTGCCAGCCATAACATCTGTGAACTTGAAGGTCTGCCCCTGTGCCTTTCCTGCCGTTGGTTTGGGGTGGGCAGAGAGCTCATTTTCCTTTATCTGATCCCTGTGTTTCAGGCGGAAAGATTGGGGAATTCAGAGTAATATTTGTTTCCATCTTACTTTCAATCCCACCATTAAAGAGAAAATTAAAGACTACCTTTCCTCACACCCTTCCATACCCTTCAATAAAACCCCATCTGGGCCCTGGCCAGTGTGCTTCAGTTGGTTTGCTTTTGTCCAGTGCACAGGGAGGTTGCTGGTTCAAGTCTCAATCAGAGCACATGTTGGGTTGCGGACTCCATCTGTTCCATCCCCACTGGGCCATGCTGATTGATGTTCCACTTTCACATTTGATGTTTATCTCTCCCCCTCTCCCTTCTCTCTTAAAAATCTATTTTAAAAAAAATCTTAAAACAGCCCTAGCTGGTTTGGCTCAGTGGATAGAGTGTGGGTCTACAGGCTGAAGGGTCTCGGGTTTGATTCAAGTCAAGGGCACAAGTCAGGGTTACAGGCTCAATCCCCAGTTGGGGGTGTGCAGGAGGCAGCCCATCCATGGTTCTCTCTCATCATTGATGTTTCTGTCTTTCTTTCCCTCTCCCTTCCTTTCTGAAATTAATAAAAAATATATTTAAAAAATTTTTTTAAAAAATCTTAAAAAACAACAACAAAACAAAAACAAAACAAAAAAAAAACCCTATCTGTGATGACTGTATGACTGGAGGTTTTGATCTTGTAGGGAACAATTTAGACCACATGTGTCAAACACAAGGCCCTCGGGCCAAATCCGTCCCGCCAGGCCTTGCAATGTGGCCCGCACCGCGCTGTCATCACTGCACTCCGCTGCGTTTCCATCACAATGACAGTTTATGACTGTTCAGTAAACCATTCAGCCCGCGATTTAGGCTGGATTTTAGATTTTGGCCCGTTCTCTGATTGAGTTCGACACCCCTAATTTAGACTACCAAGGAGGTGACCAAGAAGGAAACTGAGTCTTTAGAGAGCTTGGATTGTGTAAAGAACATTTTTTAAAGCAGAGTGTGAGGGGGTATAAAAGGCCAATGGTTTGTTGAAGAGCTTCCTGACACACATGGGATTGGCAAGGAGAGAGCAGCTCCTGCCCATGGGACTGCCGTCCTGTGTATTCTCCCCCGGCATCAGTGAGCGCGGATCCCTGGACTGCCTGCGGCTCCTGAGAGCACGAGTGCGCTCTGCGGGTTGTAGGGTAGCCATCCAGCCCTTCACTCCACAGGCTGTACATCTATACTAATAATCTATACTAATAAAAGGATAATATGCTAATTAGACTGGATAGACTGGACGTCTTTCAGACGCCATTCCGGACATCCTTCCTGACAAATCTGGGGTCTGGGATCCCAGGTGCCTGCAGCCGGCCAGAGGGAGGGAAACCCAAACCCCAGGTGCAGGGCTGAGGCAGAGGCAATTAGGGGGGATCAGGCAGGCAGGCGAGCAGTTAGGGGCAAGCAGGCAAGCAGGCAGAGTGGTTAGGGTGATCAGTAGGCAGGCAAGCAAGCCGTTAGGAGCCAGCAGTCCCAGATTTCGAGAGGGTGCAGGCTAGGCTGAGAGACCTCCCCCAACCTGAGCACGAATTTCGTGCACTGGGCCTCTATAGTCTTTTGATATCAGGAGCCAAACAGCCTGATGTGGGTGCATGCCAGCATGGCCTGGAATGCGGAAGGTGAGGACCTGTTCACTTCTTCCTGTATACGTGCCACTTCCTCGACACTTCCAGATATACCTTTTATTGTTGGGTACACATGCATATTCTTAGCACACAGACTGTATTGAGTTCGTGTCTGAACCAGGCGCTGAGTACTTGATGTTAGTAGGGATAGATTTTGTGAACTGCAGATGGGTTGGTGGTAAAATCTTCAATGTCTAAACCTGTTTTCTCAGCCCAGCTTCATTTCTTCTCTCATGAGAACTGACTGTTACATTCTGTCTTTATAGAGCTTCTTCAAGAAAGCAATGGGTGTTTGGTGTCAGAGACCAAAGGCCCCGGCAGCGGGCAGGAAGCAGCGTGGAGACGGCAGAGTTCCCCTGGAGAGCATGCTCCTTTTGGATGGCTTCCAGACACACAATCTCTATCCGCATCTGCGACCGGAGGCTATGTAGAAGCGTCAGGCAATGAAAGTCGCGAATCCCGTACAGGAGAATGGGGATTCCAAAAAGGACAAGAGCTACCTGCTAACGCAGCTCCATGTTTCGCAGAGACATTGCTTTCTAGCAGCCTGCTCGTGGACAGCGGTGAAGACGGCGCGGGCCTCGCCCAGCTGGACAGACAGGACTCGGAGGACTGGGAGATGGTGTCCAGGCACTCGTCCTGGGGAGATATCGGTTTGGGGGGCAGTGTGGAGGCTCCCACGTTAAGCCCGAGCCAGGGGTCGAACTCTGGCAGAAACCCTCTTGCAGAAGCGAGTGGCCAGGAAGTGGTGGTTAAGACCAGACGGCCGGTAGTGATGACTTCAGAGCCCCCGCAAGTCAGTGTCAGGTTCCAGGTCCATTACATCACGAGCACGAGGGTGCAGTTCGTGGCGGTCACTGGGGACCACGAGAGGCTGGGGAGGTGGATCTCTTACCTCCCCCTGCAGTACAGCTCGGGGGGGCTCTGGTCCCGCTCCGTCGCCCTCCCGGCACAGACGGTGGTGCAGTGGAAGTTTGTGGTGGTGGAGAACGGGGAGATCACTCGCTGGGAAGAGTGCAGCAATAGGCGGCTGGAGATCGGCCGTGAGGACGCCTTGGTTCACAAGTGCTGGGGGATTCACTGAGGCGGCTCGCAGGGCGATGAGCGAACGGTTGCAGGATGTGGAGGGGGCTCAGGTTGTGGAGCACACTGGATAATTGGAAATAAAGGAAGTGTGAACTCCACGTGTTAGCCGAGTGGTTTCAGATTTGCTAGTGGCTTTTGTTTCATGTGCAGAAATGCGTACGTGGCTAATGCTTCCAGGGAGTGTGGGCTTTTTCTGAGGCCGTGGTGGGTGGGTTATGCTGACCCATCCGTACTTCAGGGCGTGGTCCTCTTGGGGAGTGGCTTGGCTGAGCGTGGCCAGAAAGCACAAAAGCTAACCAGCTGCCCAGGGTTCAAGGTGGAGCCTTTAGGTGATCCTTAAACCAAGGGGGGAGGGGGGGCATGAAACAAGTCGATGTCCTCGTGGTGCAGCTGGAAAAGCGTGCTCTTTACTAATGTAGTATGTGCACACTTTATGTTTAAAAATAGTCACCACCATATGGAACTGTGAGCAGAAAACATCAGGTCACTGGGTGTGACTAGGAAGGTTATGAGATTTCCCAGTGTTTTTGGCTTGGTTTTACCTGCCTGGTATGGTGGGAACGTAGCAAGCACGTCTTTGTCGTGTGGTCGAAGGCTAGTTAGAAACAAGGGCCGAAGCAGAGCCCATCATCAGGAGTGGCCCAGGAGGAGAGGGAACAGAAATGGGGTTGAGGTGTGGGCTGAGCCAGGCCTGAATGGTAGGTCTGGGAGGTACGGGCAGGCGCACCTGACGGCAGGAGGGACACACCCATCGTTTCCTCCTGGGCTGTTGTGGAATCAGCGGTGCCCACTGCGAGGACCACAGCAATGCTTTCACCTCCTCCCCTCTCCTTTACCAGTGTAGCAGGCCAATGAGAGAGAAGTGTGTCTTTGCTCTGAGAAGAAATAAACATCAAACCTTGCTATTATAACCCAAAAAAATAAAACCAGAGTTTTAATATATTAAGTGTCTGGATTATTTGTCTAAATCTTGGTACCATTAATAGCTTTGATGTAAAATAAAATACTAATGTCTTCCTTCATTAATAACGGAGGGGGAAAAGCAAACATCAGGAGGCACGGAAGTCTGTTTCACTCCTCCCTTTGGAGACAAAGTTTTAGAATATTTCTTGTGAAACTGTACCTTTGGAGGGATAATATGCATGCCTGTACTTGAAAATAACTCACATGTTAGGGGTCTGGGAGGGAGGAAGGTGGATGTTAAAGCAACTTTTAATAAGTGTAACTCCTTTTGGCGAAACATTCATTTTGGTTACAGATGGTCTTTGCAGAAAAAAAGCTTAAACCCAACTGAAAATAGTGTCAGGAGGTGCTTAAAAGAACTATGTTTGATGGTTTGGCTCCTAGCATTATTATGTTAAGTTGCTATGTACTTCTTATACTTAATAATTAATTCAACATTCTACTAGTGAGGCGTTTCCTGTTACTGCCAGAATGCCCAAGCATTTCTATTTGGTAAAATTAAAGGTAAAACAATTTATAACAAAACTGTTATTAGCCATTTTATCGTTATCCAATGAAATAAAAGTTAATCTTTCAGTAAATCCAGTTAAGAGATACTTACAATACTACATTTCATCTTTTTAAAAATTTGTTAAAAATTGAACCACTTAGAGCACTAACACGGTCATTTAGAGGAGAAACATGAAAAGTGTGTGTGTGTGTGTGTGTGTGTGGGCAGGGAGGGGGAGAGTCCATATGCCCTCCTAGTTTATTACCTGGACAGGCTGGCACTTGCCGCTACACAGGCACCATCCCTGCATTGGCTGCAGCATCAAGTTTATTTCTAGGGAGAGATCAACCAAAGGACTTATGTGCATACATATGAGCCTAACCAGTGGTCAAGGACAATAGGGGGGTGGGGGTATGGGTGGAGAGGGGTGGGGGATTAGAATGGGGGGTTGAGGACAAATATGTGATACCTTAACCAATAAAAAAATTAAAATTACCAAGTTTATTTCTTCTCACAAAACAAACAGTGGGCACTGCATTTTCCTGGCAGGAGGGCAGCTCTTGTAGAGATTGTGACGAGGCTCCTTCTACCCTCCTGTCCCCAGGGCCTCCCTGCCCTCGGTAGCCAGCCCACAGAAGGGAAATGAAATGGAGAAACCAGGAAGGCTTACTAGGACGCAATTGCTCTGTCCACAAGCAATGGTGGAGGTGCCTATGGGCTGGGAGACAGCCTCCAGCTGGGCAGCTGTTTCTCAGTGAGGTCTGTGCCAGGCAAGGAGTGGGTGCAGACTGTCTGGGACAGCCAGCCTTCTGCTTCATGGGCCCTGCAGTCTTTGGCAGAACCGGAACATTTTTGTACATGTTCTTCTCATTTTGTTTGGGTCACACTTGTGGTATGATATGGTATAACTAGAGGCCCAGTGCACGAAATTCATGCAAGGGGCTCGGCCCTGCCACCGTGGCAGCTGCTGCTGCCTCAGCCCCCACCTATCACAGCAGCTGCCCGTGGTCCTTGTAGCCTCAGCTTCATCCAGAAGGACATCTGGTCTAATTAGCATATTATGCTTTTATTATTATAGGTAAGTATATTTAGTCTTTGTCCCAGGTTCCTGGCACTGAGCTCATCAAACCCTTGGGATTTCCTGAGACCTGGGAGTGTCTTGTTACTCTCAGTGAGGCCCTTTAAGTTACACTTGAGTTTACACTAATGAGGACATTTATGGGGGAGCCCCTACATAGCCCTGGGGTGAAGCTGGTCACCAGAAAGTAGTGGTGATTAGAGGTTTGGAACTTTCAGCCCCTCCGACCAGTCTGTGGGATGGGGTGGACGACAGGAAGATGAGCTCTAAAAACCCTTGAATAAATAAAGTACCCAATAAAGATGATTTGGTCAACCATGGACCAAAGACGGAACTGGATTATAATGGAACTGGAAAATACCTGTCACCTAGTGAGGTGGCAGCCATCCTCACATCACAGCATAACTCACGTGCTTGTGGTGATGCTGGTGTGAACAAACCCACCACGCTGCCAATCGTGCAAAAGGACAGCACATACAATTAGGCACAGTCATAATTCTTGATAATAAAAGACGACTGTGTTACTGGCTTATGTATTTACTACACTATACTTGCTATCACCACTGTAGAATGTACTCTTTCTGTTTATAAAAAGTTCACTGAAAAACAGCATGCCCTGTTACACTGGCAGCAGCCTCATCTCGTGTTTACTGACTCTCTTGATTGCATCATCTCTCTTGTGCTTCACTCTCATGCTGTTTTATAATTTCCGTGCAGTCTAAGTGTACAGGGTTTAGAAAGTCTACAATGGTGGACAGCAGTCCTGGGCCACTCTCTCACCGACTCACCCGGAGCAACTTCCAGTCCTGCAAACTCCGTCTATGGCAAGTGCTCTACACAGGTGGCCACTTTCTATCTTTTATATCATAGTTTTCACATTTCCACTATGCCTTTTCTATGTGTAGATACACAAGTACTTACCGTATTGAGTATAGTAGCGTACTGTACAGGCTTATAGCAATAGGTACACCATATAACCCAGCTGTGTAGTGGGCTGTATCTTCTTACCCATGTGTGTGATGTTCGCTCAGTGATGAAATGCCTAACAACACATCCCTCGGAATGTATCCCTGTTGTTATAGCAGGAGACTGACTGAGCTTCGGGTGAACACGCTGACGTGCGGGGAGGGGGCACACCCTGAGAGGGCGTGGAAGCTTCCGGCACCAGATGCACCCCCTGCCCTATGCGTCTCTGACATTTGGTTGTTCCTGACTGTTTCCTTTATGATAAACCAGTAACGGTAACCAAAGCACTTTCATAAGTTCTGTGATCCACTCTAGCAAATTACCGAAACTCAGCGGGAGGTTTGGGAGCCCCCACTTTAAAACCTGTCAGTCAAAAAGTCCGGGGGCCTGGGCCTTTCGATTGCCACCTGCACTGGGAGGCAGCTCTGTGAGGCCGAGGCCTTACATCTGCAGACGCTGACCTTACCTCCAGATAGTGTCAGAGCTGAGCCGGCTCGGAGGACGTCAGTCGGTGTCCACAGAGAATTGGTTATTGATGTTAAGAAACACCAAACATACATAGCCCCTAATTTGTTAAAATGTAATTAAGGCAGACTGAATCCCTTCAATCCGTAGAAGTTACCTACTGACTGAAGAATAATATATGTCTTCTTTCTTCATAGTAAAATGCAAAAGAGAATCATTCCCGGAAGTCTTGACCAGGGGCCCAATATTTTGTTGTCTGATCACAGCCACTGATAATGATAGAGCAAACAGTTCAGGGTCACAGCAGGAATCCCTGTCATGTGTCAGTCTGCCCTGTTCCGGGCATTATACCACATCTCACTTCCATGTAAAGTTGTTTTTTAAGTTGGGAGAGAAAACACACACTATTGCTTCAGCATCAGTAAAAAAAAAAAAAAAAAAAAAAGAGCATAATTATTCTAGCACACTAGCACAAAGTAATACATTTTAAGTTATGAATACTTTCACAACTAGTATATTTAGTCTGCTTGAAGTTTTACTGGGAGAGCATTCAGGAATAGTTTATTTCAAAATAGAGTTTACAAGACAGGATATCTTTAATTAAAATTTCACATAAAAAGAAAAAAGTTTGCAGAGCACTATTTATAAGTAACACCACAATTAATTGGGCATCATATCTCTGTAAAGAATAGGCAAGCAACGTGTCACTTTAGTAACATTTTTTCTTGGTCTTTCACTTTCTGTATTCTCTTTTCTTGATTTTTTATCATTGAAGACATTGCTGAAAATGTTGATAAAACAAAGTTAGAATAACAACATTTACTGAGGTTTTAATTCTATTATGTGCTTTTTAAAAGGTCAGCTTGCTACTGTAGAACACATGCATTCTGAGCTCAAGAAGTTCTTAAAAATGCAAAGGAGTATACTTTTAAAAAGATGTGTTATGGAACAGAGCTAAGGATAAATCTCTTCTAGGTTAGTTATTTTAATGAGCACGATAATTATTAGGGTAGAAGTTGTGCATACTATTGTTAATAATCCGAACACCTCAGGAGTGTACAGAGATGCAAGTCAGTCTCTGTCTCTGCTCCCTCACCTGCTGACCCCACCCCCTTGAGGTCATCGCTGTACACATTCTGGTGAATATCTTCATGTGTACCTGCGTGTACACACAGACACACACACACACACATACACACACACACACACACACACACACACACGTTTCTTCTTTACATAAACGGAAATGTAGTATAACTTGTTCTGTAGTTTGCTTTATTTACTTAACAAAATGTTAACATCTTCCCAATCAGCTCACATTTTGTTATGACTGCACAGAATTCCATTATAGGGCTGTACCAATGTGCTAGTAAACACATTTTAAAAGTTGTTTTCTTAGTTTTGTTTATAAATAATGTTACAGGAAATACTTTTGTAAACAAACCTTAGTATAATTAGTTTTTATAGAATAAATAGTTAGAAATGGAATTTCTGGGCCAAGGCATATGTGCACTTTAAATTTTGATAAATGCTCCCCAAATTCTCTAAAAAATATTTGTTTCATAATTTCTAAGATACATCCTATCCAGACAATGTAGCCAATATAAAGGTCTTTGTATATTTTTAAACAAATGCAACAAGTCTTTCATTTGAACTATTAAATGGTGGCATTACTCAAACAAACCCAATAATATAAATCAAAATATAAATCAAACCCAAAAATATAAATCAAACCCAATAATATAAATCAAAGATAAAAACAGAGCCAAGGAGATAATGCATCTTCTTTGAAAAAGCTCACAATAAACTTAAAATCAAACATTTTCTGATATTTATCTCCACAGGGTCTGGGGTCATCATAGGGGTCTGGAATCTTTTTAAATAATAATTTGGTAAAACATGTGGACTTCGGAGTTAGAAATTGCAGAGATCAAGCCCCAGCTCTACTACTCGTGTGGCTGAGAAGGTACTGACTGACTGGT